GATTTTTGTTAAGAATTGATACTCTTCTTATTTCCCTCACTTTTCTTGGTACTTGTTTTAGGACCACAATCTCCTTATCTTTATACTTCAGTGGTTCATCTCTTGAACTTTGTAGAATTTGTGTTTTGATTGCTTTCTTGGTAAATCTTACATGGACTTCTCTAGGTAATTTATTTCTCATTGCATATCTTGTAAAGACTCAATACACCTCATCTATGCCATCCATCATTTTCTCTTTGGATATCTTCAAGGCGTTTGCCAGCATTTCTATCATTATTTCAGGAAGGTTTTCCCCCTTTTCTTCTTCTATATTTTGGAATCTGAGATAAAAATCTGCCCTGTCCAACTCCTAGCCCAGCATTCAACTTCCTCTATCATGTTCGACAGCAGTCAATCTATTATCAAGTGTACCAGTTTTCTTGTCTCTCAGGTCATCTTTTTCTTCTATTTTTTTGAAATATTTCCTCATATTTCATCATCATTTGTTGTATGTTCTCTACTTTCTCATCTGTTTTCTCTGTTCTGTCTGCTACTTTTTGTATTGATTGCATTATCATTTGTAGTGTGACCTCCTTCTCTTTTTCCTTCTCTCTTTCCTTTTCCTGTTGCAACATCATGTGTATTGATCACTGTCCAGTAAGTGGGGAAGAGGAGGTGGGTATCGATGAGCCTGTGGCAGTTGTCTTCTTCATTTCAGATTAAATGTAGCTCTAATCAACAACCACCAAATACAATCTTCAGGTTCTTCTTTAACTTAATCCAATTAAAAAGGGAGATGTATGTATATATATAAAAATAAAATAAAAAATAAAAAGGAAGATAAACATTCTCTGTAAAAATTAAATCCATAGAGGGGCCCAAAAAACCAGAAAAGGAATACAAAATTAATCCAAAATTATTCCAACAGTAGTATTAAAAAAAGGGGGATGAAAAAGGAAAAAGAGAAAGGAAAAAATGCCAGGATATAATAATAATAAAAAAATAAGGATGAAGAAGAAAAAGTTATCCAATTATGAAGTCGAGGCCTAGTTAAAAATAAAACCAAGCAAACCAGAAAGGTCAGGCCAGGCGCAGCTGTCAGCAAAAAGGAAAAAAAATATCAAAGGCTTTGTAATTTGGAAGTTCTGTCACAAAGTAAAACCCTGCCACCATGCAATGTCCAAGGCTCACTATCAAGTTGTAAACAAGTTTATTTTACAAGATGAACACCTACATAAACATTTCTTCAGTGCTCTTCTCTAAATATAGATAATCTAGCTGGAAAGTTCCCAAAAAATCCTTTCTTTATTCCATAAAAGAAAAGAAAAAAAAGCCTCTAGGTGGCAGTGTTACTTTGTTTGCTTGACCTTCACTACTCTTTTACAATGTAACCAAAACAGGAAAAAAAGAGTTTAGACTTTCCTTTCAAAGCAAACAAAAGAAACTAACAAAAAAAACCAAATTCCCTTTTTAAAACCAATGTTAAATTTGATTCTTCAATACTTATTAAAAAAAATCCTGTCCAGTTGAAAGAAAAAAAATCATTTTGTATACTATATAGTAATTACAAAAAAAACACCAAATCAATTTGACATCAGGCTTATTTTCGCCGCTGCCCCTCTTTTGTCTTCAACACTTTTCTTTCCCCCTTAGGGTGGTCTCAGTCCCCAAGGTAAATTGGTTGAATCTCACCCAGAGCCGACACACTTTCTTTCTTCTTCTTCCTTTCCAGAGCTGTCCCAACTTTCAGCAGCTTTAATGGCCGCTTCCACTGCAGCCGATTTGAAGAGCTTCTCCTGGATCAACCAGGGACTTTGCGATATCCCTGGGATCAACAGGACGTGCTCTCCTCATTCACCATATCTTCGGGACAGTTTAGGTCCATTTGGACCGTCCAGCTGTGGGGATATCGGCGTCGGTCTCAGATCCCCGAGATTATCTGTCCGTCTCGTCGTGACATCAGCCCCGCCCCCCGAAATCACTATTCTTTTGCTCCCATCGCTAAAGCAATAGCTCTTTGAGCCAGGCTCATAGCTCATAAACCTGAGCTTTCTAGCCTTTGGTTGACCTTTTCTCCTGATTGCTTCTGGAATATGCACCCATACATTGCTTCCAAACACCAGAGGTGGCTTTCTCCCATATAGCACTGCATATGGAGTATCATTAATTGAGGAACTCAATTAGGAACATGTTCATTCCTAATAAATCCTTTGAAGTTTTTGAAGCTTGGCTCAAGGCTCATGATTTAATTAGGGCAACTGCAGGAATCCTGACACACAGCCTATTGATTAAGTAATTAGCAGTCAACATGGCTTCACCCCAATATGACCTGCTCAGACCAGAATCCTCCAGCAGTGAGTCCTTAATTGTTTATAAGACACCATTCCGCCTCTCAGCTATACCATTCTCAGCTGCTGTGTACGTATTTGTGTGTCTGTGTTTTATTCCTAACTGCCCCAATCACTGTTGAAAACTTGCTGACAAGAATTCTGAACCTCTGTCAGTTTGCAGCTGACATACCTATTGTTTATACCTTCTTTCCCATTGTTTAAATTTCTGTAACACCTCTATTTTACTCGTCAGTAAATAGTAGAACCCAAACCTGCTGTAGTCATCTACAATGACCAGCGCATACTTTGCTCCTTCCAAACTGGCTTGCATTGGCTCAACCAAATTGGCATGTACCAGCTCTAGAGCTCTTGTTGTCTGCCTTGTGCTACTCTTGCTTACTGGGAATACCTTGTACTTTGATTGTTTACATACTGCACAGTCCAAGTATGCCTTACACCCTTTTAAGTTTAACCTTTCTCCAAACTGTTGCATCTTTTGCAAAACTCTGAAGCTCACATGGCCAAGCTTTCTGTGCAAGAGATGAACACATGAACCATGTTGTGCCACATTTCCTTTTTTTAAAATAAATTTTATTAAGTTTTCAAATTTTAAAAAACATAAAATAAAACTTTGTACATTGTTATCAACATCAAGACATCTTTTGTATCTCCTTACATTTTTCAGTATATGGATTTACTTATTCCTTTACCATTACATCTTACTCTTGCTATAAGTCAATATCTTTTATCCTTACACATCAATCTTCTCTATGGTATATTTACATATTTACATATTCCCTCATTCTTTTCCTAATTGCCATTTTATTTTCTTTTTTATTTCTAAACCACTCATACCAGGCATCCCAGGCCCTATAGTAAATTGAATCTTCCCTTCCCAAATTACTTTCCTCATTTCCTGTTTCATCAGCCGTCTTTAACTACTTAGTCACTTTCACTCTCAAATTGCAGTCACAGCTTTCTATCAAAATGGTTCCACTCTCCGTTCAACTACAGTTCTCCATTAAAGTTCCAATTGTTCTCTCTAATATCTCTTTTCTGCTCTGCTAGTAATCAATCCAAATTGTAGAAATTTTAAGTTTTTATTCACAATCTCGATCTTTTCTTCTGCGACACTCTCTCTCAGCTGTCAAACTGTTCTGTTTCCTCCTCTCCCTTTCGCTCCACTATCCCTCGCCAATTAGCCGCTGTATTCACTCTCTCCGGAGACTCCCTCTGTCAGGAATCTTTCACAGGGCTCTCTTCTCTCACCACTCAAAAACTGTCCCAGTCTGCCGTTCTTCTTCTGATGTCTTGCATTGATCCACTTTCCTGCTTCCCGATCGCAGCTGGCTGTCACAGCTTCGGACCCGCTGTAGATGCCAGGTTTCTTTCACACCGGATTCAAAGGGCTTCCCCTCGTCACAGCGGGAGGTTGCTTTCCTCCACTCTGCTCCTAGGTTTCCCCTTCTAATTCGTATGTCTCTCCAAGCTTCACAATGCCTCTGAGAGCTTCCAAGCACGAAAATTCGGATACAGGATTGCAGAGATCGCTCTCCTGCTCTGCTCCACCGTGACCTCACCACCGGAAGTCCCATGTTGTGCCACATTTCCAAATGTTTGGGCACATTGAACCTTTTGTCCCTGCAACACATAAAGAGCACCCTGTTTTATGCCCTATACACATACACTACCATTTCTTTTTATGAGACACTTCCCATTTACAAATGTGGTCTCAAAACCTTGTTTGTTTAGACTGGAGACCCTCAGTAAATTATGCTCCATTTCAGGGACACATAATACATTACTAAACTTTTCCTCCAGACATGGAAACAGCACATGGCCTTTTCCAATGACTTTAGCCTTCTGGCCATTTGCTAAGGCTACTGCATCTCCTTCAGCTGGATCCATTCTGAAAAACAATTTAGAATTATTAACAATTGTTTGACTTGCCCCACTGTCTATTTGTCTCTGCTATTACAATAGCTAACTTTTGCAACAGTAGCTTGTCCATCTGTTGTTTTTCTTCCTTGCAAACAGTAACAGTCTTTCTTTAAATGAGTCTAATCACCACAGATGAAACACCACCTCTCTTCTATTACTTTGGTCTTTGCAGACATCCTGTCTGTTGCTTTTCTCTCTCTGCTCCTTGGGCCCCCATCTCAGGAATTTCTCCTTGTGACTTCTTCTAAAATAGTGTTTGTTTTCTTCAGAAATCAAACAGGCTTTAAGGGCTTCCATTTGTAAGTCCTGTTCTGGTTTGCAATCAAAAATGGCTGAAACAATGTCCCACATTTCATCAAGACTGTTTAACACCAACAGCACCTTCTGAGATTCAGGAAACTTCATTCCACGCTGTTCCAACTCAATAAATAAAGTCTGCATGTGCAGCAAATGCTTCTCCATACTCTCTTGTGGTAGCAACCAGGCTCTGTATAATTGTTTTGATAATTGCACAATATTGCATGCTGATGCACTCACATGCACACTTCTCAATTTCAGCCAAACCTCCTTTGCAGTTTTTAAATCAGCTACATTCAAGAATTGTTCATCTTCTAAACTTAAGATGATGTAGGCCAGTGCCTTATCATGCTGCCTTTGATCTGCTGCTGCTAATGGTGCCTGGTGTGGATTAATAACAATATCCCAGAGCTCCTTAGCCTTCATGAAGCATTCCATTTTTGGAGCCCAAATAATATAATTCTTCTGTCCCAATTGAGGCAGAGAGCTCTCCTTGAAATCAACAGCCATCCTGCAAGCCTTCTCAGCCTTGTTCTCTTTTCCTTATAACACAGGCTGTCCTTCAGCTTAATTACAGTTCAGTTTTATTGTGTGCTTGGTGTGCTCTGGGCCCATAACCTGTCAGAGTTTGCTGCAATCCAACCAGCACACAAGTAAATAATTCAGCAAGATTCATTTATAGAAGAAACTTCTTTATATACAATAATATAAAGTATGATGCATGTATACAACACCCATGCAGAAGCCAGAACCAGAACTCAGAATCCAGAAATCATAATCACAGAAGCAAAGATTGCAAGAACAAACCAACTCTTACATATATAAAGATCAGTCAAGCTAAGCCATGCCCAGGCTCCGAGCTGTCTGACGTGGGTCACAACAGATCCTGCTTCTTAGTCACCAAACAGTTCCCATTGGCTGACTTGTTATGGCTATCCCAGCTCATAATTTCTTAAACACTGACAAAACTTCCCAGCGGGCAATTGAATGCCATCTTCCATTCGTCCCCCTCTCTGATTCTGACACGGTAATGTGCTTCCCTCAAGTCTAACTTGGTGAATAACTTTCCCTTAGCCAGTTGTGCTAGCATGTCTTTCATGAGGGCAAGAGGGTACATGTTTTCCACATACACCTCATTGATCCCTCTAAAAGCCATGCATAACCTCATAGTTCCATCTTTTTCCTTAAAAAAAGCAGGAGCCATTATGTGGGATTTGGCCGGTTGGATGAAGCCTCTGGCTAGATTTTTTTCGATGTACTCTCTTAGCTCCCTCATTTCCCTGGGGGTCATCACAAACATCTCCACCAGGTCCTGGTACTCTGGGGATGATTTGGGTCCCTGGGGACCATCCTACCCAGCCCTTGCCATCCATCTCCTCTGGTATGGCTTGCGTGGTTCAGTCGTGTGGGGGAGGGAGAGGGCCTCTCCCTAGACTCAACTTCCTGTCCCCCACTTCCCACCATATCGTCAGGCCCCACTTGTCCAACCAGGCTAACCCCAGCATCACACCTTCTGTCATTTTGGGGACAATCACAGACCAGATCATCTCCCAGTGCTGACCCATCTCCAGCTTCACGGGCTTGGTTAAGTGTGTAACGGGAGCCCCCCCATCAGTGAGCCTTTGACCTGCTCAAACCTCATGGCTCTGGACAGTTTCCTCGCTCGGATCCCCAGTTCTAACATGGTTGGCAGGCTTATCTATCAGAGTTTGTTGCAGAAAATCAAATCCAGAAAGCACACACAGATAACTGATTCAGCAGGATTCATTAATTTCTTTATATACATAATAACATATGAAGTAAATTTACAATATCAACAGGAGATTCTTCCAACGTGGTAGCAGTTACAGGCAAAACACAAGCAGAGGAGAGAACAGCAGAGATGAGTTTCAGTTTTGATTCAGAGTTGTAGACAAGTTGCAGCTTCAGAGCTTAATACAGAGCTATGCCCAGGCTCCTTCCAGTTTCAGTTTCCAATTCAGCTCCCATTGGCTGATCAGTTGCCATGCCTATTCATTGGCTGACCTTGTTACTATGTCTTCCCAGTCATGAATATTCTGACATTATCAAGCATCGGGTGCAGTCTGAGTCTATTAGGGCTTCAAACTGCCCCTGGGCTCCCGACTTGGGTGCCATGATTCTTTTTTTTTTTTTTAAGTTTTAAAAATAAATTTTATTAATCATATTTTCATCATAAAAACACATTTCCACTCATAACAGTGTTTCAATATCAGTGTTCACTCACGTTTACATACTTTCTAATTATGTAGATTGTTACTATATATTACATACTTGTTTTTGCATTCAACATAAACCAAATATTTACAAGCTTACAAACAGTATTTATCTCAACTTACTATAGCTCCTACATACCCTTCATCTATCAGTTTTGTGTCTACCTTCGAACCAATTGTGCCATAAATTCCAAATATCATAGTACTCCGTTTCTTCTCTGTCCTTTAGTTCCATCGATAACCTATCCATCTCTGCACATTCTAAAACCTTTTTTATTATCATTATATCAGAAGGAGTATTGTCTTATTTCCAGTTCTGGGCAAAGGCAATTCTGTCCATGGTTATTATATGAAGTATTATGTATTGGAATTTTTGGGTGCCATGATTCTTACAGGGATAGCAATGGCTCTACTCACCATCAGGTCTCCTTCTCCCTCATCCTCACTGTCGTATGAGGCTGGTGACTGGTCCCCTTCAGCCAGAGTTCCCTCCCCCTCAGGCAGACAAGAGGGGACCTGGATGGCCTGGTGGGCCAAGCTGGATTTTCCAGCATCTTCCCTGGTGGTTTTTTGGCTTAGTTGATGCTGGCGACTTCGGTTTGGGCACGGGTGTCAGGCACTCGGCCACTCGATGCCCCAACTGGCCACACTGGAAGCATTGGATGGAAGGGGGGCAGCTTGGTCTCTTTGGTGTGCTGGTAGGCGTAGCTGAGGCCAATCAACTCTTTTGGCTCTTCCTCAGTCTCGTTTTGGTGTTGCCCCTTGGTTGGCAACACCTCAGCTCCATGTCTAGCACTGTAGCAGCCCGGTACCATTCATGCACTTGGTCAGGGTTGCCCAAGTAGGCACACGCCTGGCGTAGTTTTCTGTCAAGGCCCTCTTTGAAATGTTAGATCAGTCATTCTGGCGAGTGCCGCAGCTTTCCAGCAACCCTCCAGAATTCTCGAATGTATTCCTTCACTGGCCGCGCTCTTTGCTTTCACTCTCATATCTCCCCCTCCACCTGCTGGGCCTTCACCTCATCCTCAAACCTTGCCCTCAGCTCCCCTAGGAACATCCCAGCATCCCTCAGCTCAAGTGTGTCCTCGTCATGAAGGGCAGCCACATATTCTGCTGCTTCCCCCTCAAGGTTGGCAACTACCACATTCAGCATCACTCTCTGGGTTGGGTAGGCTAAAGCATAACGTAGCTGGGGGCTCTGCCTGGGGCTCGGGCCTGCTGCCACCTCTCCCTGTCATGCTCAGACGCTCCGATCCAGGCAACTCCAAGTCACCAATTGAAGCTTCGGGCTGGTGAGGCAGAATCTCCCAGGTAGGCTCAGGCTCCACCGATCCAAGAGAGGTTGCACTGCCCAGATGACCAGCCCCTCTGTCACTCCCAGCCGGTGCAAAGGTTCAACTTCCTGGATGCCTGCGCTGTTGAACCGTTCCCTTAACAGCTCCACAGGAAGGGCTCCAAAGCATGGTCAAGTATCTCCATCCCTTTGGCTCATCCAAGTCTACTTCTCTCCTTCCACTTTGTTAGGTGGACCCCCGAGTAGTTAGGTGAAATTCGGGTGAACTCAGTTTCTGCCGCCTTCGGGGCTTTCCTCCACCAGAGCTCATCACCCGCTAGGTAATGGCTCTCCGCAGCTGTCACTCCCTCCCATGTATGTCACGAGTTGGGCTTCCTTAACCACACCTTCAGCTGTGAGGCCATCAGCGGGGTGACCTCACTCACTTGGGCGTCCACCTGTGTTGTCAGCCCTGCCACAGGCTTGCTGGCATTTCTCCTCTCCTCATTTCAGCCATTTCCTTCTGAGATTTTCCCTTCCCCCTGAGGAAGCTGGGTGGAGGGCCGGGATTGAGGAATCCCAGAGGTTTGGTGATTTTAGGAGAGTTGGATTGATGTCATTGTTCTGAGTAATGATCCCAATCAATTCAGGACTCTGAGCCTGTAGCTTTTCTCAAAGTTTTCCTTTATTGGGTACACCATATCAGCACGTTCAGATGTGAATCCAATTCTAAATATTTCCCGTGGTTTGGTATAATTAAAAGAATTAATATTCTCCACCCTTCATTGTCACAGATCACGTTTACCAACCAGGTAAGCGACAAGCTTCTCAGCTGCTCCCTCCGGCTGTTACGAGTGTTCGTTGAGATGACCTTGGTTCCCATGAGCCCTATTGCTGTTATGTCTGGTATATTAGAAGGAACCATTTCACACTCCATTGGTCCCCACCCCTCCCATATGTATGGAAACTAAGAAGCAGAGAAAAAGAAAATACAGCTTTAGCTAAAGTCGTTTCGAGAGTTGACATAGAGAAGGGAATTAGGGAGTCAGCCATATTGGACTTAATTCTCACTAACAGAGATGAAATGATAGAAGGTGTTGAACTTACAGGAGCCTGTAATTTTATACAGGTTCCTGTAACTTCAACACTTTTATACAAGAAAGTATAAAAAGTGGGAAGAGGGACACATAGCTAAGGCAAAATAGCTGCAAATAGCCTGAGTCTGCAAAGATGAAGGCAGGAAAGCTAAGGCTGAAAATAAACTAAGGCTCTCGACAAAAGTCAGAAATAACAAAAAAAGCTTCTTTCAACATGTAAAAAACAAAAAAAGTCAAGGAAACTACTGTATTAGTCCATTTATGGGAGAAAATGGCAAGGTGACAACCAACAGGGAGAAAGCACAACTGCTTAACTCATTTTTTGCCATCTGACTTTACACAAAAGGAAAAAAAACCAGTCCAACCTATCAAAAACAGTACTGTAAAAAACAGATTAGGAATACAAGTTAAAATAGGCAAGAAAATGGTACAAGAACACCTGTCTACCCTAGTCAAGTTCAGATCACCAGGACCAGATGGATTACATCCCCAGGTTCTGAAGTAACTGGTAGACGTGATCTCAGAACTACTAAACCACATCTTTCAAAGATCCTGGGGCACTGGGGAACTACTAGAGGACTGGAAAAGGGCTGATGTAGTTCCCATCTTCAAAAAAAAAAAAAATGGACCCACAAAACTCCAGACCTGTCAGCCTAACAGCAATACCTGGGAAGATTCTGGAAAAGATAATCAAGCAATGAATCTGTGAACACCTAGAGGCAAACAAAGTCATAACCAAAAGTCAACATGGGTTTGTCAAAAACAGATTATGCCAGACAAATCTTATTGCATTCTTTGGCAAAGTGACAAAATTAGTGGACCAGAGAAATGCTGTGGCTATAATTTATTTGGACTTCAGTAAGGCATTTGATAAAGTAGACAGCAACCTACTACTTGGTAAGATAGAAAAATGTGGGTTAGACAGCATCACCACCAGATGGATTCATAACTGGCTGACCAACCACACTCAGCGTGTAGTCCTTAATGAAACTGCATCTACATGAAGGGAAGTAAGCAGTGAGGTACCCCATCAATGCCTTGGACAAGGGGATAGATGGGGAACTCATCAGATTTGCAGATGACACCAAGCTGGCAGGAATAATCAACACTCCAGAAGATAGGCTAAAGATACAGAAGGACCTTGACAGACTTGAACATTAGGCCCTATCTAACAAAATAAATTTCAATGGGGAAAAAGTAAGGTTGTAAATTTAGGAAAGAAAAACCAAATGCACAAGTATAGTATAGTATAGCTTGGGGGTCCTAAAAACAAATCCAGGGACTCCGATAAAGAAATTGGATCCGTCTGCAAAGATGGCATAGACCAGTGGTCGCCAACCGGTGGGCCACGGCCCACTGGTGGACCATGAGAAAATTTTGGTGGGCTGCAGAGAAATTTCACCCCCAGAGCACACCCCCCCCCCCCCCCCCCAAGCAATTAATCCAGGCTGCGCAGAAACACAAGGCTGCTCAGCCCACATGGCCCGCAGGAACCTTCCCCACCCACTCACTCCTTACCCGGTAAACTTGCCTGCTAAATTGCTATTTTTCCTTTTTCCAACCATCATCTGTTCTGCTGTGCCGGGAGATTTAGATTAGCTAGGAAGCAGGAAATGGTTGGATTTCTTGCTTTCTAGCTAGTCTTTAGATCTTCGGCTCAGCACAGCCGAACCTCCCTGAGGACTGAAGGTTTGTTTGCAAGCAAATTCAGTGCAGACTCACGGCAAGCAAATTTGAGAGACTGAGCTAGCCGATGGCAGATAGATAGATCACTGAATGATTCTGTGAGCAACTCAATCTGCCTGCTTTGCCTGTTTTTGGGTAAAAGTTGCTTTTTTTAATAAAAAAAATTCAATATTTACATGCATGGTGTGTTGTGAATTAATTTTGTGAGTTTGCTTGCAAGCAAATTTTATGAGTTTGCTTGCAAGCAAATTTTATGTGACAGACTGAGCTAGCCAATGGCAGATAGATAGATCTCTGAATGAATCTGTGATTCTGTGAGCAACTCAATCTGCCTGCTGTGCCTGATTTTGGGTAAAAGTTGCTCTTTTTTATAAAAAATTCAATATTTATATAAATATTTATAATATTTACATACAAGCCATGCCCAGCCAGTCACATGACCACCAAGCCACACCCACAAATTAGGCCACACCCACAGAACTGGTTAGTGGTCCCTGGGATCTAAAATTATGAGTTTGGTGGTCCCTGAGGTCCAAAAGGTTGACGACCCCGGCATAGACAACTTATAATTCCTTAAATCTGAGGACGTAAGTGGGACATTTACAAAAGTTGCTACAGGAATTTCCTCAGATGTGAGACCATTAGGCATTTCACGTTACAGATAAAGCATCTGCTGGTCTCTTCTCGCTTTAGATCTAGTAACAGCTCCACTAGAAGGTCCAGCAATTGCTGCCAATGAATCTAACTCCTGTTTCAACTCTCTATACTGAGAAACAGCAGGGAGACTTCCTCCCCCTCCTTTATCCCCCACTGCTGCAGCTGATGTTTCTTGTGCAGTCTCCGCTATGTTATAGGGGAGAGGGCGTACACAACCAGCATATTCTGATGGATCCCACTTGTCACTCTCCTTGGCATACAAAATATTTTTATTATTTTTACCAAGAGGAGGAAAAGGATCAGTATATTTTACATGATACCAAGGAACCACATAACTCAACTGAGAATCTTACTTCTTCTTAGTCAAAACATCTTTCAAAGCATTAATCCAATATACATCAGACTCACCAAAACATGACCATCTGTAATTAAGAGGTTTCAAAATATGATTCAGCCATTCAACTGTGCAAAGTTCAATTAAATGTATCTTATTTAAGGGTTTTGTATACTGAACTAACCACGTTTTATTCCATTGATTTATTAACTCCCCTAAAGGGGAAAACATAGGAATTGATAGAACTTCACTAGTAACATCTGGTTTCTTTAACCAGGAATTCCAATTCCCCATCTCGTTCCCCCCTTCTACATAGGAAATGACAGGAGAGAGAGAAACACAGTGAAACAGCACACCACAGACTTCTCACAGAGACTTACACACTCCAGGCAAACCAAATTAAAATTGTGCAAGCCCAATTTATTTAAAAATGTTTAAAAATGTTGCAACATTATCTATTAAAAAAAACCAGATAGAGCTCACCTGATTCCCCAGTGCACCTCAGCTCACGTGGCCACTGGAAGCCAGCATGGTTTCAGCTATCAGTCAAACAAACGCAGGCTTTCAGGAGCAAATTCCCTGGACGGAGGGCTCTTCCAAAGCACAAAAAAAAAAAAAACCCGCAGGAAGAACAGCGGTGGGCACCCGTTTTTGCAGTCCAGAAAAACCAACCTTCCAAAGTCTTTGTCCTGTCTCCTCGCTGGCTTGCCAAAATTGTGATAAGTGAGCGCAGAAATGAAATAACAGGCTTGATATCTGAAAACTCGTAACTGGCTTTTATTGATTTAGATACTGCAGTACCGATCAACCTTTAACACATGCTGGTCATAGTATGAGGAAAGGAAGACACCCTTTACCAGAAAGACCACATACTTATACCCAAAAAAGGTCACATAAACAGTTACACAACGCATCTTGCTTTCCAAATCAAAATTACAAAGAATCCCATAGGAAAGTTGTGGGTCTTTTCCACAAAATTTCCCCCCAATTAACTTGGAACTTGATCAACATTCTTTATTCTGATTTATCTTCAGATTTCCTGTTATTCAAATACCAGAAGATTATAAGAGGGTGATTAATTTCTCTTAATGTGACTATATAATGTCAAAGCACCCTAGTACATATCTCTAACTTATGCCAAGTACATAGTTTTGCAATCTTGTATGATTTCTAACAGAAAAATACATTGCATAACTGTTCTGAGCTTTAAAAGTTCAGACTGCGAACACAAAATGGCTTCAGTTAGGCTCTATATTCTCAGGTGTAATAACCAAATTTTCACCTATAACATAATGCAAGCAGCATTGTCTTCATAGACTAAGACAGGCTCAGCTACCTTTATATTTAAATCCTGTAACAGTTGTACATACCAAGTTATCTCTGAACACAGTTCAGACAAAGCAATAAATTCTGCCTCCGCAGTAGAAATAGCTACAGTTGTTTGCTTTCTGGACTTCTAATCAATTAAAGCCTCTCCAAACAGTATCACAATCCCAGAATTGGACTTTCTGGTTTTTGCATCATTTGCATAGTCACTATCAACATAGCATTTCAATTTTAATTCTCCAGAGGCCTGTATTTGAAGACCTAAATTCACAGTTCCCTTCAAATACCTGAGAATCCTTTTTACACCCATCCAATGCAATTGTGTTGGTGCAGCAGTAAAGTGACTCAAAATGCTTACTGCACAAGCTATGTCTGGTCTGGACCACTGTGACAGGTACAATAGGTTCCCTATTGCTGACTAATATATCTCCTGATCACAGGCTTCACTTTCATCCTCACCCACACTGTTATGAAAATCTGTACTCATAGGCATTGGAGCAGTATTACAATCTTTCATGTTATATCTCTCCAACAACTGTTCAATTTTCCTTTGCTGACTGAGAATATAACTACCTTTCTGTTTTATGTATCTCTACACCAAGATAATTTTTTATTTCTCCTAAATTCTTTAATTCAAATTTTTTCTTCAACTTATTTGCAAATTCATTTACCTGTGATTCATCCACAAATGCTAATAGTTGACAATCCCCAAATCCCCACCTTTTAACTTTCCAGTGTATATGCAACCATCAGCCTTGCAACTCTTGAACCCAAGACCTTTCAATGCCTTATCTAAACAGATATTCCAATTCCTGGCTGACTGCTTCAGCCCATAAATGGCCTTGTTCAATTTATATACTGTATTAGGCTTTTTACTTTCATACCCTGGTGCTTGAACCATGTACATTTCTTCTTCTAATTCTGCATTGAGAAATGCAGTGGTTATGTCAAAATGCCAGATTTTATGGCCATGTGCCGCTGCCAATGCTAGTGCCAGCCTGATGCTCTCACTCTTTACAGTTGGCGCAAATACCTCATCATAGTGCACATTTTTCCTGTGTGAAAACCCCTGTGCCACTAACCTTGCTTTATATTGTACTTCATTATTGGGTAGTACCTTTTTCTTGTATACTCACTTGCATCCTACAGCTTTGCTACCCTGTGGCAAAGACATAGATGTGAACACTTCATGTTCTTCCATGGATTTCATTTGCTTGTCCATGGCTTCTTTCCACTTTACTTGTTCAATTGTAGGTAACGCCAATACTTCTTTGTAGTTCCTTGGCTAATACCATACATTATACACTTTAACTTCACTAGCAGAATACCTGTCAGGTGGAATCCCTTTGTTCCATCGCTCTGACCTGCGTGGCACTGACTTCTGACTCAAACCTGGTTCCAAGAGAGCAAACACAAGACAAAGGCAGCAGTACAACCTTTTTATGTTTCAGCTAAGAATTCTGTTTCTTCACAGATAAAAGGCTGCTTCCAACTAATTAGCTCCAACAAAAAAGAACCTTGCCGAGTTTTTGCAAGTCTGCCAAAACACAACAGATAAGAAATAGTTTACAACACAAGAGTCTTCAAATACCAACTGTAATGTCCACGAGGCTGAGTTCAAAATGTCTTTCCCTTCTGCAAAGCATGTTCGTTCACAGCTGGCTTTTATCTTCTTGAAGGAGGGGCCATTACCTTGCAGCTTTACTCCCGAGTTGCCCGTGCTGTTGTAACTGCTCTTTCTTCCAAGCAATCCTGTGCGCACGCGCACTTGGCACAGGCTCATCGGTAACCTCCTCATCGCTGCTGCCATCTCTGAAGGCAGCAGTCCACTCCCTAATGGTCCTGGCCCCTCATCTGTGTCCTCACTCTCCTCAGCCATCTGCACCTGCTGCCAGCTAACCACAACACTGACTGCTCCTGTGTGTCAACCTTCTCTTGCTTTATATCTTGTTCAGCTTCTCCTCCCTGAACCCTGACACCATCACTAAGTGAGTTACTGTCACTAAGTGAGTTACCATCACTAAGTGGATCTTCATCACTAAGTGAATCATTCCATAAATTTGCATCAATTCTGTTCCAATTTTGCTCTGCAAAGCTTGCAGACCTTGAAAATACTATTCTTTTGCTCCCATCGCTGAAGCGATAACTCTTTGAGCCTGGCTCATAGCCCACAATCCTGAGCTTTCTAGCCTTTGGTTGCCCCTTTCTTCTAATTACTTTTGGAATATGCACTCACACATTGCTTCCAAACACCCTTAAATGTGCTAGAGGTGGTTTTCTCTCATATAGCACTGCATATGGAGTATCATTAATGGAGGAACTCTACAACCTATTGACTAAATAATTAGCAGTCAATATGGCTTCACCCCAATATGACCTGCTTAGACCAGAATCCTCTAGTAGTTATCCCTTCATGGTTTGCAAGACTCCATTTTGTCTCTCAGCAACACCATTCTCAGCTGGTGTGTAAGGATTTGTGCATCTGTGTTTCATTCCTAACTGTGCCAACTACTGTTGAAAACTTGTTGACATTAATTCTGAACCTCTGTCAGTTTGCAGCTGACATACCTGTTGTTTATACCTTCTTTCTACAAAGCTTACCCATTGCTTAAATTTCTGTAGTACCTCTGTTTTACTCTTTAGTAAATAGCAGAACCCAAACCTGCTATAGTCATCTACAATGACTAGCGCATACTTAGCTCCTCCCAAACTGGCTTGCATTGGGCCCACCAAATCTGCATGTACCAGCTCTAGAGTTCTTGTTGTCTGCCTTGTGCTACTCTTGCTTACTGGGAATGCCTTGGACTTTGATGTTTTGCATACTGCACAATCCAAATATGCCTTACATCCCTTTACATGCAATCCTTCTGCATACTGGTCCATCTTTTGAACAACTTTAAAGCTGGCATGACCAAGCTGTCTGTGCAAAAGATGAATAAATGAATCATGTTTTGCAACATTGCCAAATGTTTGTGCACATTGAACTTTTTGTCCTTGTAACATATAAAGGTTATCATGCCTTATGCCCTTTGCACAAACAGTTCCATTTTTCTTTATAAGACACTGCCCATTTACAAATGTGGTCTCAAATCTTTGCTTGTCTAAACTACAGACACTCAGCAAATTATGTTCCATTTCTGGCACTCATAAAACATTATTAAACCTTGTTTCCAAATATGGAATTTGCACACTGCCTCTTCCAATGACTTTAGCCTTCTTACCATTTGCCAAGGCTACTGTGACTCCTGCAGCTGCATCCATCCTGTAAAACAATTTAGCATTATTAATAATCATTTGGCTAGCCCCACTGTCTATCAGCTATTGATTTCTTCCATTACTATTGCTGGCTTTTGCAACAACAATTTGTCCATCAACTTGTCTTTCTTGCAGCAAACAGTCTTTCTTTAAATGAGTAGTGTCACCATAGATGAAACATGGTTTCTGTTGTTGGGCTTTCTGCTTAGCTGTAGTCTGATATCTTCTACTGCTCTTCTGGTCTCTGGAAACCGCAAGGCTCTTATTTCTGTGCTGCTCTCTGCAGACAGCCTGGCTTTGGAAATTTCCACTGTTCTTCTTGGGCCTCCTCCTCAGGAATTTTTCCTCTTCATGTTTTTTTCTATAATGACGTTTCTGCTCTTCAGCTATCAGACATGCTTTCAGAGCTTCCAAACGCAATTCCTGCTCTGGTTTGCATTCAAACACTGCAGAAACAATGTCCCATGTTTCATCTAGGCTGTTCAAAACTAGTAGTACTTTTTGAGATTCCAGAATCCTCATCCCACGCTGTTCTAATTCCACAAACAATGTTTGCATATGAACAAAATGCTGTTCCACTGAATCTCCTGGCTGCAAACGAGCTCTATATAACTTTCTTGATAATTGTACGATGTTGCATGCAGATACACTCACATGAACAGTCCTCAATTTATCCCTGACTTCCTTTGCAGTCTTTAAATCAGCTACATTGATAAACTGATCATCTTCTAAACTTAAGATGATATAAGCAAATGCTCTATCATGCAGCTTCTGATCTGCAGCATTCAATGGTGCCTGGGGTGGATTTTCAACAATATTCCAAAGCTCTTTAGCCTTCAGGAAACATTCCATCTTTGCAGCCCAAATAATATAGTTCTTCTGACCCAAACAGGGTAGAGAGCTCTCTTTAATTTTTTCAGCCATCCTGCAAAGCCTCTTGCCTTCTTTCTTACTTTTAAAACAGGCAGTCTCTCAGCTTTAATTACAATTCAGTCTTTTTCTGGAAACATAACCTGTTCAGAGTTTTGCAGCGAAAATTTAGTGCCAGAAAAAAAATACAGATGGCTGGTGCTTCATTTAACATCTTTATAAACATATTAAGTACATTTTACAAACCAGTTGTAGATTTCTCCAACATGGCGCAAACTCAAAAAGAAACATGGTGCAAGTAACTTCAGCAGACACAAGCAAAACAGAGAGAGAACTTCTAGTTTCACTTTCCAGGTCAGCTCCCATTGGCTGGTCTGTTACCATGCCTACTCACTGACTCTGTTAACTATGTCTCTGCCAGTAAATGAATACTCTGACAAGCTTCACATATAATTGAGCAGCTAGGTTTTCTAGGACAGCCCTCACCAGCTTCATGTGTTCATCCATGGTTTCTGTGTAAATTAGAATGTCATCTAAGTAGACCAGGACTCCCTTGAACAAGTGTTCATGCAGTATTTCATTAATTCGTTGAATAGATTTGGCAGCTGCCCATTGTAGACTGAACAGAAGGACCCAAAATTGAAAGCAACCTAGTGGTCAATTGAAAACAGTCTTCCTCTTGTCACCTCTTTGATTCGCACCTAGTAATAAGCCTCCCTTAGATCCAACTTGGTAAAAAATTTCCCCAGATTTTTGTCAATAAAAGTCCTGAGCTCCTCTAACTCCCTTGGTGCCATCAAATATAGTTTGGGTTTTGGTAGCTTGGCCCCAGGCAATATTTCGGTAGCACAGTCTGTGGGGTGATGAGAGGGAAGTACACCTGATTCCCACTCACTGAAAACTTCCTCCAGGTCCCAGTATTGTATTGGAATGAGGCAGACCACTTCGCCTCCTCCATGGGCTGGCAGAGCACCAACTCCTGTTTTTTTCCTTAACGAGGGGGACGAGTTTGCACAGTTCCATTTTCATGGCGGATTTCTCATTGGGGCTTTTCCTGGGGATTTTTAAGGTCTTTTTCATCCAATTTACTGGAGGGCTCCACTTCTCCAGCCAAGCAAGACCCAAGATCATAGGCCTATCCATGCCAGCGGCTACAATGAAACGAATGGTCTCTACATGGGCCCCAATTTTCATCTCTACAGGTTTGGTCATGAAAATGGCAGGACCTCCCCCCATCTTGAGAGCCATCTAACTGGTTGAAAGCTATCAGTACCTTGAGTTTACAGAGGCGTATTCCAAGCCTCTCCACTAGATTGGGACTAACTAGACATTGGGTGCACCTGGAATCTAGCAAGGCTATTAATATGCCTTTCCATCCTGAGGAATCTACCACCAGCTCTACTTTCACTATCATTGCTTTTTTATTTCCACTTACCAGTGGGTTGTCATCCCCACTGCTGACACTTTATCCAGTTGGCCTTGGGTCCCTCGTCGGAGTTCCCTTGCCTTCGCTAGATGGTGGGGAGAACTCTATGACCTTGATCCTTTTGCATGCCGCTTTCTTGGGCTTGGAGGTGGACCTGCCCCTTTTCGGTGGAGCATTTGGGGTGGCCACCACTGATCACAAGAAAGGGCAGTTGATGACTCAGTGGCCTTTCTTGCCACACTGGAAGCATCCTGTCAGATGTCATCTAGGGCTGGGGCCCCTCCTGCTTGCTTTCGTGGGGGTCTCTTCTCTGTGGTGTTCTGAAGTATTGTGGTTCCCTCCCAGGGTGGTGGTGGAACAGGGCTATATCAATCTCAACCAGCCAGGACATACCACCCTCAGAAGGTTCTTGGCGACCCTTGTGATAAACAGCTGTAAAGCACATCATGATTCAGGCCCTGCTGGAAGTACTCAAGTAACATTTCTTGGGGCCCACCCAAGAGTTTGCTGGCTAGCCCCCTGAATTCTTGGATGTAGGCTGTGACGGATCGCCTTCTTTATTTGGAAAATTTATATTGCCACCTACTCGCTCACAGCGATTCAAGGTAGCTTACAGGAAACAAAAACACAATATAAAAGAAATAAAAATGATTTTTAAAAATAAAAAATAAAATAACCCCCCATGACAACTCACACTTATATCAGCCATGTAATGGGCTCCTTTCTGCTCTGGGTTCCCCAGGGCTGCTGGCAGAACCACATCTTCAGGGCCTTACAAAATAGTGTCAGAGTGGGGGCCAGTCTAATTTCAAGGGGGATGTTCCAGAGGGAGGGAGCCACCATGGAGAAGGTCCCACCAGATGTATCTCCTTAGGGGAAGGGACCCGCAACATTCCTTGACTCCCTGCTCAGGTGGATGTGACTGGCAAGAGACGGTCCCTCAGATCACCTGGTCCCAAGCCATGAAGGGCTTTAAAAGTGACACCTTGAATTGCACTTGAAAGCAAATCAGCAACCAGTGCAGCTCTTGCAGGAGAGGTGACACATATGCACATCGAGGTCTGCACAAAACCATGTGGGCCGCTGTGTTTTGCACCAACTGGAGCTTTCAGGTGCTTTTCAATGGCAGCTCCATGTAGAGCACATCACAATAGTCAAGACAAAAGGTGACTAGGGCATGAGTGACCATGAGTAGGGATTGTTGGTCCAGGAAAGGGCGTAACTGGTGCGCAACCTGCAGTTGCACAAAAGCCCTCCTTGCTTGATGGTTCTGATCCTTGTTTTGGCCCTCCAATCTGCCAGTGGGTCCTTGAACTGTTGTCTTAGGGCCATCATGCAAGCATCAAAGTTGTGTAACTCCTTCACATCCTTGTCATGCACAATCGGCAGCCTCACCTTCTAGAGCCCTGGTGACAGCGCACTCTGGCCTCATCACCTCCATGAAATCCCAGACCTGGGTGAGGAAGAATCCCAATTGCTTTGTCTCTCCATTGAACTTCACTGTCAGCCCGGGTGGCCGACGGTTGACCCTGGCTGCTGGGGCAGCCTGTGCCGGCAGCACTGCCAGGATTGGTCCCGGTCAGGCTCTTGGTCAGGCTGTTCCAGGGGGTCACGAAGCATACATTCTGCAAGTCTCTCTCTGAACAGAACAACCTCTTATTCGACTGCTGTGCCTTGGAAATCCCTCTCAGCCAGTGCCAACTCGAATATGCTTTGGGTCCAGACCCTCAGGTGAAGGTCACTCCCACTGGGGACTCCTCCAGCTTCCCAACTTCCAGGGACCATCAGGGTTGGTCTCTCAACAGAGAGGGTTCCCTCCATCTCTCGAGGGGGATGGCACCGGTATCCACTCCGATGTCTTCGACCATGCACCGGGGTTAGCCTGGCTGTAACAAGTCCAACTCTGAGTGGGATGGGGTTCTGGCTCCCCTTCCAGTTCAGGGGTCTCACCACTGCCCTCCAGTCTCTCTGGCATCTTCTCTGCATTCTAACTCCTCTTGTTCCCTGTTGGAAAAAGTCATGGTTGCAAGGTTAACAAAGTACGAAATGT